AGCAAGCACTCTACCAACCCAGTTATATCTTAGACCCTAGAACAAAATTTTATGTTGAAAGCACTTAGTTCAATTGGTTATCAATATTTCATTTTATGGCAGCCGTGGGACTGAGCCTAGACTTGTCTACAGTAGAACACTTTACATAGACACTACTGTCAATATCACCTTTCTATTATCCGGATGAAGCACTTGTTGCTCTTCCAGAGGACCCCAATTCAGTTCCTAACACCCAGACTAGGCAGCTGACAGCCATCCACAACTCCAGCTCCAAGGGATTTCACACCCTCTTCTGGCTTCCGAGGGCACTGCGCGCGCGCGCACGCACACAGTTGGAGAGATGGCTCAGCTCTTAAGAGCACTGGCTGCTCTCCCAGAGGTCCTGAGGTCAATTCTCAGCACCCACATGGCAGTTCACAACCATCTATAACTGCAGCCTAACGGGATCTGAGGCCCTTTTCTGGTGTGCAGACATACATACATACAAAGCATCCACAAAACTAAAATACATAAATTTTTTTAAAAATGCAATTATATCAGATCATTAGAAGATAGCACCTGCTGCCACTGTATATGGGTTTTTATCCACGAGAATCATGTCATTCCTTGAAGATGATATGAAGTGAGTGTGATAAAGGTTTTTTGTGCCTGGCGTTGGTGGGACACGCCTTTAATCCCAGCACTAGGGAGGCAGAGGCAGAGGCAGAGGCAGGCAGATCTCTGTGAGTTCGAGGCCAGCCTGGTCTCCAGAGCGAGTGCCAGGATAGGCTCCAAAGCTACACAGAGAAACCCTGTCTTGAAAAAACAAACAAACAAAAAAAAGCCTTTTTTTTTTTTTTTTTTTTTTGAGTCAGCACAGGCAGTAGGACAAGAAATGCAACTAGAAGATGCTATTGCTAAATCTGTTTTCTGAGCCTTGGGGCACAAAAAAAGGATGATTTTTTTTGAGGCTCTATTTCACACACACACACACACACACATACACACACACAAAACAAGAAACACAAACAACAACAACAAAAACAAAACCCAATAACAACAACAAAATCCATTCAAATGTAGGGATAGTGGTACAGATCAGGGAGACAGGGAGAGCAGGAATGATTTCAGCAGCAGTAGGAAGCTGCAGAAACACAAACTCATAGCTGCTACTACTAGTGATTTACACCTCCTCCCCCTCCTAAAGAAAAAAAAAAAAAAAGACAGGCAGGGCAGTGATGGTTCATGCCTTTTTTTTCTTTCTTAAGATTTATGAGGCCAGGCCTAGACTTGTCTACAGTAGAACACTTTACATAGACACTACTGTCAATATTAATATCACCTTTCTATTATCCGGATGAAGCACTTGCTGCTCTTCCAGAGGACCCCAATTCAGTTCCTAACACCCAGACTAGGCAGCTGACAGCCATCCACAACTCCAGCTCCAAGGGATTTCACACCCTCTTCTGGCTTCCGAGGGCACTGCGCGCGCGCGCACGAAGGGATTTCACACCCTCTTCTGGCTTCCGAGGGCACTGCGCGCGCGCGCGCGCGCGCACACACACACAGTTGGAGAGATGGCTCAGCTCTTAAGAGA